GATAGATAGATAGATAGATAGATAGATAGATAGATAGATAGATAGATGAAGGAAAAATCAGTAGAGATCTCAGAATACAGTCATTTCCCTGTAGATTTACTATTATATCACGAGCCATCTCTGGGCGAGTCACTTAACCCTATTTGCCTCAGTTTCTTCATTTGTAAAATGACCTGGAGAAAGAAATGGCAAACCACTCCAGTATCTTTGCCAAGAAAACCCCAAATGGAGTCATGAATAGTCAGATGTGACTGAAATGACAACAAAATCCTTTCAGGAGAGCTGGAGATTTTTACACTCTCTATTTTCCCCCAGCTACCTTTGGTGCAGAGTACTGACCCTGAGCATTACTGCCACAAAGCCACCATCATCTGATGCATCAGCATTTCATTATACAAAACACCCAGACCCAAGTGGGGTGAAGGAGAATGTCATCCTGATCTTAGGTCGAGAGGTACACATCTAATCATTGCTTTGTAGACTTATGGGCTACAAAAGCATTCTTAACTGCTCGTTATGCTGTTCTAGAAGAGCTGGCATGGTATTGACTGCAGAAATCATGGCTTGGATCTCCTGATGATGACCAGGAACTTGTGATTTGGGACACCCAAGTCAAGTTATCCTGTAACTGCCCATTCAGCTGTGGTCAACTGTCTTGTTATTTTAATCCATGCAGTGAATCCATTTTAGGAAACGGCTTAGCTGCTGAGACTGCAACTTGGTGCAATCTGCATAGTATTCTATTAAATTGCATAAAGATTCCCCACCTCCCAGAACCACTGTGTATTGATCATTTAGACGGAGTAGTGCAGTCCATTAGAATGAAAGCCTGAGTTCCCTGCTGTGTGCATTTCTGCTTACATATGTGCTCATTTGCATCCAACTCAGATTTGCTCTTTTTTATCCTCTTGGGTGATGAATCTTCTTCTGTCAATAGGTGACAGAGATGACTGTGGAAGAAATTGATTTCTGATTCATAGAGCTTCAGGAAAGGCTAGCTCTATGAAAAAAATGTAAGAAGTTCCTCTTCCTCATTTCATTGACGCATCCATCCTATACCATACCCTGCCTCCTCCCCCACATTCCCCCAGCAGTGGCCTGTTCTCAGCTTTTCCTGCACTTCCTCTATGAAAGAGCAATCTCTAAGTGCTCAGGTAATCTGATACATTAGTGTCAAACTAGAAGTGAGGACCACTGAACCATACCTAAGGATCCCTGAGGGTGGGCACAAATTGACTTAGTTTTAAAATGTAATGGCATTTATAATGTTTTACTTATTTTATTTTGTTAAATATTTACCAACTTCATTTTAATCTGATACATTGAAAATAAAAAATAAAGTAAGGAATGACAAGATGTCATCTAATTGATTCATAAAATTGTTGCCATGCATAAAATAAATAAGTAAAATTAAAATTCTAACACAGTACAGGTGTTCAGGTTGACAACAGATGAAGATTTTTTTAAAATTTTCTTTTTCAGGTGAATTTAACAATCATCAACAAAAACAAATAAAGATTTCATTGATAGCACAGAAAATAATAAGTTTGAGAGATGTAATTGATTTATCCTATGCATTGTCAAGTTACGAAAATTTCTACACTTTCCTTATAAGCATCTCAGCCTTCTCTCCATTTCCAAACTTTTTGTGACACTAACAATTGTGGAATAATGAGTCAGTCCTTATTCAGACACATCAGGAGCTTAATTAGATGATCTGACCAGGGGTGGGGAAGCTGCGGCCTGTGGCCTTCTAGGTTCTTGGGTGCTTTGACTGAATCCAAGTTTTACAGAACAAATCCTTTTATTAAGGGGATTTGTTCTGTCAAGTTTGGATTCAGTCAAAGGGCTGCACTTGAGGACCTAGAGGGCCACATGTGACCTAGAGACTGCAGGTTTCCCACTCCTAAAAACCATACAAATTCTGGAACATGACTTCAAACTCATCTAAACAATTAATTTACTCAATTAAGTATAAACAATTCAGCTAATTCCTAATTCTTCTGCTTATACATTAACTCACTCTTTCCTTAGAGAGCAAATGGAATCTAATTCTCTTTTTTCAAAATTTGAATGGTTTCTTGGTCCACAGAGTTAGACTTTAGCTTCTTGATACTTGGGGATAACCAAGATGGCGTACTCAAAGACCATCACTACCTCCCTGTAAACAGGTCTAGTATACTAATCAAGGAATCAACCTTGAACTCTGTGAACAAAGTATTATCAGATGACACTGAATCCTTTAAACTGGTTCACATGGAATTTTGAAACTTTTCTTTTTTTCAGGTATGAAAAAGCACATTGCTGTATGTGGCAAGAGTTTCTCTTAAAGAACAAGTTTCAGCTAAGGACTGCCATATCACAAGCTGATGAACCAACTGGCAACATTCACTTTCTATCTCTTTTCATCTTTAAAATATTTACAATTTTCAGCCTTGGAGATGTTTGTTATCTCAGCAGCTTTTCATTACCTGGTGTTCCTATTTATTTTTTTTTCTTTATATGTTAAAGCAGAACCTTTGCAAATCTGTTTAAAATTTGCCATCGCCCTTTTGTACATATGAGTGTTTTATTCAACTTTTTTCATATACTGAAACATTTTTCATATACCTGAAGTATGTATATGTCTTTTTATTGCACTTTTAATAAATAATGACTTTCTCAAAATGCTTACAGGCAATGTGAATGTGGAGATGGCAACTGGATATTTTCTCCACAATTTTGTGTATTTCTCTGTTGCTACCTTAATAGCGTATTAATCTTGGGACCTTCAGTAGTGGAGTTCAGTAGTGAAAACTACATAAGAAATAAGAAACAGTAAAGACATGTCAACATAATAGCTGTCCATTCCCTCTGTGTGACCAGGATTTGACACCTCCTGGACTATATTCATCAAAGGGATAAGAACATAGATTTGTCATTAATCCACTCATTCTATACATATATTTAACTCTTTTAGAAATTTAGGAAATATTTCTGGTGATCGTTGCTGAATTTCCCTGATTATAGAAAATGGGCATTTTATAAGTGCAAAATCAAGCTATTACCAGCCAGGATACTACTTTCTTAAAAATACAATATGCTGCTAGATAGCAGCCCATTGGGAAAAAGATCATCTCTTGGGAGTTGCCTGCTCAACTCTGATTCCTGTTTTGCCTTGGTGCATAGACATCCCAAAAAGAAAACCAGAAGAGGTTTTATGAGATATTAATGAGCATGCCATAACTAATACTTTAATTTTTGTGATTACCTAAACTGATTTTTATGCTTACTTATCTGAGGGACCCAAGGTCAGTATATATGATCTAAACTAGTATATTTTTTAATGTTTATTTTTTTTCCTTTCTCTTGATGAAGTGAGTTTGAAGAGATTTACCTCTGAGGGTTTCAATAAATGATCATGTTTTTTTCCAGCTTCCCGATGAATGAAAATTTTCCAACACAAGTTCAAGTAGTTACCACAACCACACCATTGATATTTCTCTATTTGTTTACTTAGAGAGAAGAGGAAAAGAAGAGATGATTGTAGGATCATATATACACAGCTCTAATGGACCTTAGAGTTCACTTAGTTCAATTCCTTCATTATATAGATGAGGAAATTGAGGCCCAGAAAAGTTAGGTGATTTGCTCAAGGTCACACAGATAATGTCTGTGGCAGGATTTAAGCCTAAGTCTTCCTGACTCCAAGCTCATTACACCATACAGCCTCTCTGAGGCTGGCAAAAGGGGTATGGGATATAGGTAAATGAAGGAGGGAAGGAAAAATTCTCCTCCAAAAACAGTCTTCAAGCTGATGCACTTGAATCTAATCCTAATAGCCTTGGAAGACTGCTGTAATCCAGTGAAAAAAGTCAGTGCCTCCATGCATAGGCAGGGAACATAATTCTGAGCTCCTCTATGGTTACTATGCTGCTTGGCTAGAAATCGGAAGGAAGGAAGGAAGGAAGGAAGGAAGGAAGGAAGGAAGGAAGGA